ATGCAACGGTCAGAGAGATGTTAACCTCAGGGCTCCAATCTACCTTAGTGGCACGCCTGTCAACAAGGGCGTTAAACGAACTCCGTTCACTGCAGGGCATACTTGAGCAAGTCTCATTGACAAACGAACCGGACTGCCAAACATCTCCATTCAGCAAGGGGGATGCACGCCTTGATAGCCGTGGCATCTACCACCTGCTGAAAAGCGCGCAGTCAGGCTGGAGATGAGAGAGCAAGTTTCATCTGGAAAACTGCAGCGCCGCCCAGAGTACAGATGTTCATGTGGCTTCTTGTCCAGGGAAGGATTCGGATCGAGTTGCAGTGTACTTCGTCAGAAAAAAAAAATAGTGCCGGACAATGTGCGTGAAGTTTGCAATGATACAGATGAAACGCCGGAGCACATTGTCTTCGGCTGCACAATTGCAAGGCAGCTATGGTTAAAGCTTGGCTTTGTGTTGCCGCAAATTCAAACCGTGCGAGACCTACACAAGCTAGATCGACCGGCAAACGTACCTCAAGATGAATTCAGTACCTTCATAGCCATATTGCACTCGGTCAGAGGCTACCTGCATGGAAGGAGAGGTGGCTAAACAAAGCTGGCCGCCTCACCCTTGTCTCCTCCATCCTTTCCTCCGTGCCAACCTACCACCTAACAGTGTTCCCTCTGGCAGCTTGGGAAAAAAAAAGAAAGTAGACAAAATCAGACGATGGTTCTTCTGGAAAGGTGATGAAAACGTAAATGGAGGCCACTGTCTAGTTAACTGGTCCACAGCCACTAGACCAAAAGACATTGGAGGCCTAGGGTTGACGGACTTGGAGAAATTTGGAAGAGCTCTTCGCCTCAGATGGCTTTGGCAGGAATGGGTGCACGAGTCCAAACCATGGGTGGGGTCTGACTTCCTTGCAATAAGTCCGACAGTCTACTATTCAATGCATCAACCATAGTCACAATTGGAGATGGCTAAAAAACCCGTTTTTGGCACAACAGTTGGCTGGAAGGGGAAATGCCCAGGAATTTAGCACCTCATCTCTTCCAACTGGTAAGGAGGAAAAACAGGACGGTCCAACAAGAGCTACACAATGGGGCATGGATACGCTCTCTTAGGGATAAGATCACCGCTGCTACTCACATTGAGGAGTTCGTCTCCCTTTGGATCAGAATTCAATATGTCCAGCTAACTCCGGGCGTTCGAGACACCATAACTTGGAAATGGACGGCCAATGGCTGCTACTCCACCTGATTAGCATACCGGATCCAGTTCAGCGCCTCCTATACAAAATCCCGGTATAGCCAAATCTGGAGAGATAAGGCAGAAAACAAATGCAAAGTTTTTGCTTGATTCTGGTTCAAGAAAAAATACTGACGGTGGACAATTTGCAAAAAAGAGGATGGCTACACCAGGAACATTGCGTTCTGTGTGACGGACCTTTGGAAACTGGTTTACACTTGGCCCTCTTATGCCCTTTCGCCAAGGCGGTGTGGAACCAGGTACTGGCATGAGAAGGTTTCGATGCCCAAGTCGCCAATACACAACCAGAACCAATGCATATATATGATTGGTGGGACAAAGCCGCGCAAAATGTGCCCAAACCGATGAAAAGGCAGTTCAACGGAGTGGTCATCTACACAATATGAAATATTTGGAAGGAAATGAATAGACGAATATTTAACAATACTTCAGAGTCACCAATGCAAGTGGCCTCCAGAGTAGGGAGGATATTGTGCAAAGAAAGAGAGCCGGCTTAGAGAGGAGTTAAAGCCCATTTGTTAAATATGAGATCTTAACTGTGTTTTGTTTGCCCTGGAGGGCTATTTTCCTTGTACATGAAACTATCTTTTCTTTCTTAATCGAAGGATAGAAAATATTATGCTGGCAGATATGGAAAGCGCGGAATGCGGTTGTCTTCAGAAGTGAAAGAGCGACTGTCAGGCAATGGTTTCGAGAATGCAAGTCGAGAGCTGAGCTACGGCGACAGAGGCTAAAGAGAAGGAAGAAGCAAGTAGCAGATACGTCGTGCCAAATCGTAGAAATGGGTAAATAGCGATGCAGAACTAAGTCAACTAACTGCTGTTTCTGCATTTGTTTTTTCCTTCCTTTTTCAGTTTCTTATTTTCTGGTTACCTCTGTGCTAACATAAGCACTATAAACCTGTAACTTCTTTTTCTTTTGGCGGGCCGCGTTTTTGGGCCAGTAATAAAACCAGGTGGGGAGAGCTTCTCCCCACGTCGACCATTAAAAAAAGAAGTGAAACTGGGCTCTAAAGCTACAAACACTTTGAGCTTCACCGTAGAAGTGAAACTGGGCTCTAAATATGATCCCTGTTACCTATAGTGGCATGAAATATTTCGCCTATGGCTTTTTGCTGCATCATGTGCAAAACTTACATTTTGGAACTGCGCCATTATGAGTTACCTTGTTAATTTCTTGGAGCAAGTTGGATTTTTTTCTTGTGATTGTGACAGTAGTCTACTTAGTCTGCTAATCAGCAGCTTGACTGATTCATACACAAACAGGCCGCCATAACTGCTTGTATCCCTGCATCTTAACTGATTGGCAATACATTGTTCATTCATGTGAGTGTGATCATGCTAGCTTGCTCTAGTACTCTGCAACTGCAAGAACGTTTCTTACAAGTAATGTGCTCTATCTCTGGCCTATCGTCTATACAGCTAGAACAATGCATCACCGTCAAATAATTGTAAGTGGATGAGTCTCCGCATTCCCTTCCTCTAATCTACTCGTACAGGTGACCAACAACCATATGTCAACAATTTAATACTAGTTCGTACACGCTACATATTTTAGATATCTAGTCTGACCAAGCAATGCAAGATACATTTGTTGAATTAATTAGCGTGAACATGTTTGGTATGACGGTGACATGCCTCGTGCTCCCGTGGTCGTACCCACATCGACTAACTGATTGCCCATTTTCGGCAGTACTTACTCCGTTTGGAACTATGCATATGAAATTGCATGATTTGTGATGGTTGCCATGGGTTGGAGCACAGAAGAATAATTTGACAAATTTGGCTATGGTTTTCCTCTTTGAGCCTTTGACGTGATCTTTTCTGTTTGCAGTTCTTGTTTTTATTTCTTAATATGAGTAAGGTATAAGATGCCCTAGCTTTGTTTAGTTGGGTCAGTTAGGTAGTTTACCTTTTTCCCATCAGAAATAGGTAGTTTACCTTTTTCCCATCGGAAATGCTGGGCCGACGCTCCACCCACCCTCTGTGCCACCACTGCCACGCCCGCCCACCCTTTATGCCACCGCCGCCTGTGCCGCCCCTACCCCACCCTCTGTGCGCCGCCGCCCAGCTCCGCGTTGCTGACGAGCTCAGCGCCGCCGGTGAGTACACTGGTGACCTCCACGCACCACCCACCCGCCCTCTGCGCCACCGTTGCACGTGCCACCCCCACCCCGCCCTCTGTGCACCACTGCCCAGCTCCACATTGCCCACGAGCTCCGTGCCGCCAGCGAGAACACCGATGACCTCCACACGCCACCTACCCGCCCTCTGCGGCACCGCCGCCCGTGCACCCCCACCTTGCCCTCTGTGCGTCGCCGCCTAGCTCCACGTTGCCGGCGAGCACACCAGTGGTCTCCACGCGCCGACAAGCCTCCATTCGCCAAAGCAGCAAGAAGATGTTTGCGCTGAAAGAGTATGTTGCAAAACATATGTTTCAAGTGTTTTAGATGTTCCAGAGATATGTCACAAGTGTTTATATCGATGTTACAAAAGTAGATCGGGATGTTGTACATGTTGGAATGGTTATACAAATATGTTTTAAGTGTATGTTCTAAATGTTTCATTTGTATCAGACATATGTGTTCAAGTGTTTCGTCTGGATGTTGCAAAAGTAGATCTAGATGTTGCACACACATGTACGTTGCAAGTGTATATTTCAAGTATTTCAGGTGTTTCATACGTATGTTGTAAATGTTTTATCTAGATGTTGCATATGTTTGCAATGGCTTTCAAGCGTTTTCTAGGTGTTTTGCAAGTATTTCAGACGTATGTCGCAAATTAAATGTTTCAACTGTTTTCGGACGTATGTTGGAAGTGTTCCATCTAGGTGTTGCAAAAGTAAATCTGGTATTGCACATGTTGTTGTAGGACCCATCTGTCGTAGCCACCAACTGTAGCTGCTAGATAACATCCGTGCGGCGTGGGACCACTGCTGGGGCACCGCCGAGCGGGCGCGTGAGAAGCCGAGCGCAAGCGTGAGGGCCCAAGCGGTGGGGTGCGCGAAAAAAACAGGCGGCGCAAGCTCCATTTCTCTTGCGCGTGTGGCACCGTGCCATGCTGGCGCTCCGGATCGGATGTCCGTTTTCCCTTTCTCTTGTTCAACAGTTGAATTAAATCAGTTTTTTAAAAGAAATTAAATTAAATGAGTTTTGGTTCGACCGATGGTCCACAAAAAGCAAAGCTTGCATCCATATAACTCTTGACAATAGTTTTTCTTTATTTTGAACCATGGGAAATTTAGTATATTTCAAGAATCAAGACAGTGTCCAAGCTGGAATTTCTAGCGGCTTTGTGCGTACACGCAAGAGCAAACATGAGCTCGGCCTCGACCTCAACACGACACGATCGGGATTTCAGGCTCACGGGGCGTCGGGGCCTTATAAAAATTAGAATGTTTGACCTGGCCCTCCACTGTCCACCTCCACCTCCACCACCTCTGTCCCTCCTCCCACGCCGACTCACCTCCCTTGTCTCCCCTCCGACCCCCCGTTACTGCCTGACACGTTCTTGGCGCTTCGTTTCTCCTCCTCCCATCCCATGACGTTCAGTTAATTTCGTTGGCCTGACAACTCTGTTTCTTGGAGCTTTCATCCTCTGCCACAAGCAGCTCGAGCGGCCAAGAACGCTCCCGGCGTGGCGCGGAGCTGGCAACCGTTGTGGATTTGATCTTCCCTGGGCGCGTCGAGCTCGGCGGCGCCGGGGAAGGCGGTGACGCTAGGTGGTGGGTCTGCGCCAGCGGCGGCCAGGACATGACGACCGCGCGGCAGTGGTGGCGGCGCGCCGCGGCGGCCGTCAAGGACAGGAGGAGCCTGTACCTGACGTGCGTGGCGGCGCTGCGGCCACGGCCAGCCTCCGGGGTGGCCGCGGCGCTGAGGAGCCCCGAGCTGGAGGCGGCCGTGATCCGCGCGACCAGCCACGACGAGCGGTCCGTAGACTACGGGAGCGCGGCGCGTGTCCTGGCGCTGGCGCGCGCGTCGCCGCCGGCGCTGCAGCCGCTCATGTGGGAGCTGGCGCGCCGCGCCGGGCGGACCCGGTGCTGGGCCGTTGCGCTCAAGGCGCTCATGCTCGCGCACGGCCTGCTCCTGCGGTCCGACGCCGCGCCACGCGCGGCGCGCCTGGGCCGCGTCCCCTTCGACCTCGCCGACTTCCGCGACCGCTCGTCGCCGCCGTCCAAGTCGTCGGGCTTCTCCGCCTTCGTGCGCGCCTACTTCCGCTTCCTCGACACCCGCTCCCTCTTCGCCGCGCAGGAGCTAGACGACGACGCCGGTTCCGGTAGCGGCGGCGGCGAGGCGGCCGACGACGGCGAGGACGCGCGGCTGGACCGCGTGTCCAAGCAGCAGCACCTGCTGGACCTGCTCATGCAAATCCGGCCGTACGGGGACGGCATGGAGCGGGGCCTCATCCTGGAGGCCATGGACTGCGTCGTCATCGAGATCTTCGAGGTCTACAGCCAGATATGCACGGGCATTGCCCGCTTCCTCGTCGCCGTCCTCGGCTCGGCCCCGACGACGCCGCGGCCAAGGCCGGGAGAGACGCTGGCGGCAGCGAGGCGGCGGAGGGGAGTGCAGGGGATGCGGGTGCTGAGGAAAGCCGCGGAGCAAAGCGCGCAGCTGTCGTCCTACTTCGACCTGTGCCGGGGCCTGGGCGTGCTCAACGCCGCCGAGTTTCCGGCCGTGGAGCGCGTCCCGGAAGATGACATCAGAGACCTCGAGAAGATCATCATGAACCACGTCGTCGAAGAAAGCGGCAAGGAGGAGAAAGAAACGAAGGCGCTGGTGGACGCCGTGGAGGAAACCCGACCGGCGTCGAAGACAGTGGTGACAAAAGAGTGGGTGGTGTTCGACGACGACGACAATGCCGCCGCCGGCGCCGGCGCCAGGCCGGGGCATTTCGGTGGTTACGTGAATCCGTTCGTGGGCGCGCCGTGGGACGCCATAGCGGGTAGCAGAGACTTGTTAGTTTAGCGCGTGTTTGGTAGCAGAGCAGAGATGGAAATTGGAATGCCATCTGATCCGTCGGTTTTTTAGCCAAAAATTACTCAAAATTTGTCGTCTATCGATTTGACCTACTATGCATTATTAGAACATTGAGAGAATCCTTGTAAATAGAGAGGTTGTACGTCCTTGGGACTTGGGAGATGAACGTGAACTGTGAATCACTCCCTAAGTTCCAGTTTTAGGTTTCTCGTGTGTTTTTTTTTTTGACAGGTTTGATACTTACTCTTCAGTCACTTTTTGCTCAAATTTTGTTTCACTAGACTGTTGATTAAGTCAAATAAAGTACTAGATGCTAGATAGGCAATCAAGGACCTACTCACGCCTAAGCAATCGTTGGCGTATTGTGCATTTTCAATCATTCAGAGTAATTCCTTGAGGACACATGGCATGTTAAACATACGCAGGTCACGCATGCACGGTAGGATCACTTTACATTTGTAAACCAAGTAGGAAATCATTCTAAGCGAAAACCATACGCAGAGCAAATGTGTAAGTACTATACAAGACGGTGCTACTCCACCTAGTGCCTAGGTGATATTTGAATGAAATTCTAACCTTATCTCTGCCTTCTCCTTCCTCCTCTCTAACACTACCTTTTCCATCTACCAGCCACGGTCCCTCACCTGTTCCGGCCCTATCCCCCTCTTCTTATCTCTAGGGATTCTTGCCAGTGGTGACCATAGCTCATTGCCATGCTAATCATCAACCTTTAAAAAGAATGCGATTGATCTCTTTTTCTAGCAAAATACAAACATATCATGAAAAGAAGACTATGCAAATAGTAAACAATCGGTTACCCTTTGTTTAACGTTTAGACCATTATATGCAATAAAAGATGATTTATTCATTTGTAAGCAACGTTATCGTAAATACTAAATAGTAAACAGTCGATCACCTTTTATTTAGCATTTAGGCCATTTGGAGGTGTTTGGATGGAGTTAAAGGTCCAAACGATTTTGAACGGAGTTAAAGGTCTAAACAATCCACAGGACTCAAGAAGCATCTAAGTGTATATTTAACTGTAAAAGGTCTAGATAAGTTTTGATATATGCATGAAACACCACCGTTGCTTGACTAACTTGTAAGCATAAAGACTCTTGTGAGTAGTAGTATATGCAACATGTAATCATATAGGATTAACTTGTAAGTACAATTCAGTGTCTTGTAATGCATTGCGGACTGTTCGACGCAGGATGTCTTGTAAGTACAACCAACAAGTGCCTAGTTCAGTGCGGGCGAGGCATGCTGTTATTCTACCATCAGGGACCTACATACTCGATATATTATATCTTGCTTTGTCGACGCATGATTTTGAGCTATATATATACGGCCCAAGCTTGTATCCTCTTGTATTCTTTACTCCTGTATCCCGCCTTGCACATTAATGCAGGACTTTGACAGTGTTCCTTTTGTCACCAGATGTCATCGCTCTACCACCTGCTATACAGGTTACATATATGTTACTTTATATTAGTGTTGCCTAGTTGGTGTTATGATCTCTAGTTCAGGGTCAAAACCTGATGCAAGCATATGGATCGATTTGCTTCTCTTACTAATTGCATACTATGTGCCAGTCATCCCCATTATTGGATATGTTGTATTGTTCGATAGTCATCTCTTTATGTTTTTTATTTATAGAATGGGCATCATATTGGCGATTCGTCTACATTATTATTTGAGAGGAAGAAAGAAAAAGTTACATTAACCATTCTCTTGTATCGGTTTTTATATTCTGATTTTTTATATTAATAACTCTTTCAACTATCATCCTGAACTTAGTTCTTTTTTTCTCAATAATTACATGTGACATCAAAAGATAATTTTAATTGCAGCTTTAAATATCATTTTATTCCAAGGTGAACATTCGGTCACTTAACCAATTTTATGAAGCTAATTTTTCTATATTTATTTATAAAACTCCCCTATTGAACTATGTTTCTTTTTTTTATTATATTGGACATAAGAAGACAATTTGAATCTTAAGTCCTTAACTTGAATCATTTCCAAGTCAATTTTGAACTTTTTGATGCACGAGGGTGCAACAAAGAAACTTTGCTTTGTGTTTCTTTTTTATTATATTGGACATAAAAAGACAGTTTGGATCTTAACTTGAATCATTTCTAAGTCAACATTGAACTTTTTTTTTGAGCCTGAACTCCTAATGTACAAGTTGTAGTATCTGTACTCAACACAACACACTCACACCACCACACACACGCACACCCCTAGAAGCTACAACCTATACAACTCTAAGCGTCCTTCTGGAAATCACCGAAGCCACACGAGCCTCGTAGACGATGGGCACGTCGTAGTCCCATTGTAGCGCCATGCGAGTGTCCAGGACCTGTAAGATTTTTTGGGAATAAATCCCACGGTGGGAAATCACTAAGCCGAGCAGGGCTCAAACCCAGGACCGGTGGCTTCCACACCGGGGGAGCTCACCATCTGAGCTGAGGCTCGGTCTCAACATTCAGCCTGCTCGCTTGTTGGTTTCAGCCAGCCCAAATCAGCCAGCCAACAGTGTTTTTCTCTCACCACAAACTAGCACCAGCCAGCTCAAATCAGACTAGAAACCAACCAGCGAAAAGGCCGATTGAACTTTTTGATTCATGAGGATGTAACAAAAGAAACTGTGCTTTATCGGGATACATTGCTTTTACTCAGTTTCTTCTGAAAAAGATAAATATCTAAAAAAGTTAAAATATCTTATAATTTAGAACGGAGGGAGCAGGACACTAGCAGCACATTGACTTCTATCCATCTCTCAAACTTGTGTTTGATCTGTTTCTTAAGGCCTTGTTTAGTTCCTCCCAAAAGTTTATACCATATCCCATCGAATGTTTGGACACATGCATGGAGTATTAAATATAGATTAAAAAATAACTAATTGCACAGATTGCGACTACTTTGCGAGACGAATCTTTTAAGCCTAATTAGACCATGAGTTGACAATAAGTGCTACAGTAACACATACGATAATGACGGATTAATTAGGCTTAATAAATTCGTCTCGCGGTTTACTGATGGATTCTGTAATTTATTTTTTTATTAGTATCCGAACATCCCATACAATATTCTCATATAATACCCGATGTGACACCCCAAAACTTTACTCGGAACTAAATAAGTCCTGCATTCTAAATTTGTGCGTGGGTGTTTCTGATCTGCGACAGGTGACCACTGACCGCCCCACCTATTCTTTCCCTGACACGATGAGCAATTATTGAGGAGCCTTCGCATCCTTGTGTTGTGTCGAGCATAGCCATTCTGTTCCTGTACAGAATTTAAAAATTTGGCGACACCACCATGCGGCGGGAGATCGACAGGTCGAACAAAGGACCGCGCAGTAATTCCTGCTCCCTGTCCGATCACTACAAATGCCCATAGTCCTGTGAAACGTTAAAAGACTAGTTTTGGCAGTAGCGGTTTTCAAAACTATTCTATCTATTGCCTGCAAACACCTTAGTAGTCTTTCAAAGCCAAAGCTTAGAGAGCAATAGATGAAGTAGGCTGGCTAGTTTTGGTCGTCCAAATCAAGTAGCAACGCGAGAACAAGCTCGATTAATTGCACGCAAAGTTCGTCAGCTACGAGCGCCCGGAGTCCGGCAAGCCCAGAGTTCCGGGCGGTAGAATGCGCAGAACTTGTCCATTTTCATTTGACCGACGTGGTGGCATACCCACCGGTGCACCGTGCACGGGGGCCAGGACCACGGGCAGAGCACATGAAACCATGCCACTGTTGTCGCGACAAGCGGGTGATGACGCCAAAAGGGCCAGCACCTCCGCTAGGAAACAGGGATTCCACTATAAGCTGTTGATCCTATCACGAGCCGACATCAGCCAGCCGGCCATAAAGTTGTATTCTGTTAGTACAAACGGGTGACCTTCAAATAACACCGATGCGAGCCAATCAGCAAATCTATAATCAGATGCCAAAATTTGTAAAACGCTTTTTGGTACTATAATCGAGAGGATCAGAGAACCCAGCTTCTAGTCTGGAGCTGCTGGAGAATTATATCGATTTGGGGTAACTGCGGTTGGACCTAAAGCTGCAACTGGTGAAATGGAGATTCAGATCATTCTACCAGAGAAATGCCTAGAGCGACCAGCATCCCCATTGCGAGGGAGATCAGCTGAGCGACTGAGCTTTTAAGGGTTGTTTTCTGGTCGTTCATCTGTGGGAGGACTCCCGCGACAGCAATGTAAATGAAACCACCAGCGGTGAAGCCCTGTAAAACATGACAGTTGGCAGGGCAGGTGGTGCATTAGCTCCCAACAATGAGATGTGCCAACGGTACAACAGGAATGCATGTTGGGTTGGTCGAGCATACCTCAATCAGGGAGGAATGTCCCGGATCTTTACCCAAAGACAATGCCTGCACGTGCAGTAGAGTAATGTGTTATATGCAGGGTTTAAAAAAATCGTTTTACCTTTGGATAATTTTTTAGAGAACTCACTAGTGCTGTTCCAGCAAGAGCAACCAACGCAGAGAGAAAATTGAAGAATAGGGCCTTAGATACCGTGAAGCCTGACCGCACAAGGATACCAAAATCTCCTACCTTAACATAGAAGGAACAGAAAATTTAAGATCAACTTGTAGGAGTAATTTCTTTATGAGTGAACAACTGTTCTGCCAATGAAACACAGGGTGATTATCACTGAAAAAAACTAAAGTTCGAGGTGAGCATCTAACTAATTTTCTTAATCTAGTTCCAGAAACTAGAAAAATATCAAATGATTGCACTTTAATAGATGTTATATTATTGCAGAATAGCTCCAGAGTAGTATTTTAGCATGAGCTAGTTTTGCCAGATGCTGCCTAGATATAGATATCAGCACTAATACCGTGTAACACTGACAGAAAGTTAAACTGGAATGCATCAGGAAAGTCATACTGAAAGTACTATGGTGAAATTTAAGTTAATCTAATGGCGACCATAACCTCTTGGGGAAGTTCATGTGCAAGAAGAAATAAAGTCCTGGACCAGCCACCAACAGAACCATGTAGCAGAAAGGCACTCCCAAGAGCCATCCCATCAGTGAAGTTATGCTGCATCATTCACATGCCATCAAAATCCAAACTAGCAAGTAATTCAGAAAATCTAGCTCACAAACATGAGCATGTGTGAAACACAAAACATGGTTCAGGTGATACACTTACCACACCATCTGAGAAAAGGTTGAGGTAGCCAAACACTAAGTTAGAGTTTGAAATTGATGAACCAACATTTGATGATGCCTTTTCAGGGGCAGGATCACTTTCAGAATTGGCAGGCTCTCCATCAGTGGCTTTGGATGAGCTCCTCTGTTCATTACAGGCACATCATGTTCATCAATCATAAGTGGATCACGTGCCTCATTAAGTGGGAGAAATGCAGACCCACCATAAAAACTGAGAACCAAATAGTGATCTAATTGCACAGAATGTATAATATGAAGAAAGGAAATGCATAATCTGCTGCCCGTGAGCTCCAGAGATTTGATAGCGCATCTTATATTATCATGCATATACATATACTGAAAGCTTGCTGCAAGAAATGTGCACTTTCTGGAGAGGAAGAATCATTATAAAAATATTAAGTTCTACTGCTTAGAATCATTATAAGAAATATTAGTTTATACAGCTTATGCAACCATCTGATGCAAAAAAAAAGACATACTATAGGCCAACTTGAGGGCAAAATGGGCAATAAGGCATCATTTATTTTGATCTAATTTTACCCACGACCTTTATGTTCTTTTGGAACTTAAATGAATTCATTAAGTACCTATTAAAATCTGAGTGTCAAAACCTTCCCAATTAGCTTTTAACCAAATTTGACAAATAGGTCGGTGTTGTCCTTCAACTATTTCTTTTACCATCACACTTTGCAAGTTTGATTCTCCTTTATTCAGTGCTTCTTTATGTAACATATTCAGTGCTTGAATTGCTACCACAGATGTAACACACCACACTTTCTTAGAGCCATCGGTTAGCTTTCATAATTTGGCTTTCCCATTACTTTAAGAGATAAATTGTCTGCCCAATGAGGTGCTTGTTGCACATTTTTCCATAAAACATCTGATAAAGTGTGCCTGGACATATTTTCCTTTGACTGAACCAAATATTGTGCCTTGAGTCTAAAGGTTTTAGATTAAACAGAACTAAAACCGAATACATGAGATGTGACTTTGGTGGAGCTGCACAGGAGGAGGGAGATGTGAGTTTGGAAGGCCAAGTAGCGCCTAAGAAGGATACCTTTCGTTATCTAGGGATGTTACAGAGAGATGGAGATATTGATGCGGACGTTAGCCATAGAATCAAAGCAGGGTGGATCAAGTGGCGACAAGCTTCTGGCATTCTTTGTGACAAGAGGGTACCACAAAAGCTAAAAGGCAAGTTTTATAGAACGGCGATTAGACCGGCTATGTTGTATGGAGCAAAATGTTGCCCTACAAAGATTCGTCATGTTCAACAACTGAGTGTGGCAGAAATGCGCATGTTGCGATGGATTTGTGGTCACACAAGAATGGACCGAGTTAGGAATGATGATATACATGACCGCCTAGGGGTAGCACCAATTGAAGAAAAGCTTGCTCAACATCGGTTGAGGTGGTTTGGCCATGTCCAAAGGAGACCCTCAGAGGCACCAGTGCATTGTGGAGTCCTAAGCCAAGCTAATAATGTGAGGAGAGGTAGAGGTAGACCGAAATTGACATGGGGGAGGCAATAAAAAGAGATTTGAAAGCTTGGGATATACCTAGAGATCTATGTTTGAATAGGAGTGCTTGAAAAGCAACTATTGATGTGCCTGAACCGTGACTTGGGGCTCTTGGTGGGTTTCAACTCTAGCCTACCCCAACTTGCTTGGGACTGACAGGCTTTGTTGTTGTTGTTATTGTTGAACCAAATATTGTCTGCTATTTTTTGAGTTTTACATAGGCTATGCTTCCTAAAAAAACTGTTACATTCCACAAGAATTTTCTGTGCACATTTGCCTTCGATGCCTTTTTATTTTGTTCACAAAACTTGGCAATTTTCAAGTTCCTACTAACCTTTTTTTGTTTGCCAAAATGTCAATGGATTGCAGAAAGAACACATAAGTAATCATACAGTACCACAGAACTGATGCCTTGGGAAAACATACCAGATACTTTCTATGTTTTGCATCCGAAGCAGAGTTCAGTTAGATATACCTTGCGTATAGTAGCTTTTGATTCATGGCCATCACTTATTTTTCCAGTGGCGCCATCAACCAAAGGTTCCTCTTCAGTATGATCAATGTCTTTACCATCAGTATCACTCTTTTGGTGATTCAATTTGGCTTTATCACTAGAATTATGCTGTTTATGATTATGATGATGGTGCCCATGACCCATGCTATGAGCCCCATTTTGAGAATTGTCTTCAACATACCTCACAATTTTCTCAACGATAAAAAACAGTACAATGCCAACTGCATGGAATAGTAATTGAAATTAGACATATGGAGAAAGGGAACAGATCAAGGAAGTTAGATGCATGTGGAAAGAAAACAGATCCAGGACTCCTGAGTAATAAAATGTCTGGAATAAATTCATGTCACTAAGAGCAATAGTGATTAATGCTTGCGCAGATTTAACATGGCAGCTGGAGGGCAGGGCATCCAATATACTTTGGGTTAAAAGGAAACAGTCTGCAGCGACTGAATCAAGAAAGGAGCATCTCCAATTCTCCATATGGCAAAAAAAATGTCCATAGAAGAAAATGTTATTGTACATACATGTGTAGGATATACTCACATAGTATAGACAACCCCACAGAAAGATCTTCCAGTGAGTGTGCATGTGCATGCTCATGAGCATGATCATGACCCTCATGATCATGTGAGTGGGAGTGTCCTCCACCTGAGCAGCAATTGAAAAACAATGCAAGTGAGAGAGTGCTCCTACAGTGAATCAAGGCAAAAAACTGCATCTACATCATGTACAAAGTGAAGATCAAAACTAAAGGAATGCAATATACAGTAGGGTTGTATGGATGTGGTGGCCCAGGTATTGATATGAAACTAGCATGAGCAACATACTATGATGCTTTGGAGGTTCAACACTTCAGTTTATAACCCATAGCATAGCAGGAAAGAACATGCAAGAGATGGTAGGAATTAGAACAGTTTGATCCAATTGGTTCACGCAGTGGGTAATTCAGAAGTTTAGTGCTTTTAACAAAGCATTGGGCAGTAGGCAAAATATGCATGGAGCTATGCTTCTTTTTAAAATTACAAGCAGCTTGATTTAGGATCATAGGTTACATTGGAGTAAACACAACATTTCTCATTTGTTAACTTTTCTGGGACATTTGCAAAATCCACCCATCTACCCCTCCTATGTCCTATGGCAGTGAAAATATGGGGGGCACTAAACTGTCCTTGAGAACCAAGGTATAACTACAGGAGATATAGAAACAATTTCTAGCTCAAGACGATGTAGATGATGGGAGAGACAAAACAGTAACTAGTAAAACCCAAGTCAGCAGATATACACGAACCAAGCACAAACAAAAACAAGAACCAAAAGAAGACCTTAGCATGTATCAAAGGATATACCAAAAGCATGTGGCAGCTGATGAAGAAATGAATCTCCAAGCATTGCTCCTGCCTGCAGATTACATTGAAAGTTTGAAACCAAACAAGAAAAGCACATAAGCTGTAACATCGTTGCTTCTGAACAAAGTAGTAGAATTAGTCAATTAGATCAATATTATAGAACCTCAATACCACATACAGATACTATTGGTGCAAGACAACGTCATAAATAAGCTAAATAATCTCAAAATCACGGGGCGTCGTCTCATGGTTGACTCTTCTTCTGAATATAAACTTCTACAAATATCTAAAAAATCTAGGTTTCTTTTGACTGCATTGCATATTCAGCTAGATACATGCTGATATACAGAACCCATCAGGAAAAAATACGTTAAGAAAACAAGGGCAGATGATGTATTAACCATTTGCATTTCTATTTCTCTTTTTCAGGAGAAAGGAACATCACTTTGTATATGAGAAAGTGCAATCATCGCACATCTGTTACAACTTACAATTTTAATGTAATCAAGCATGTGCTTCAAACAGATGACACAATTCCATTTGTCTGCTTTTGTGGCACTGTTTGGTTGATTTGTTCCCTACTGAATGAGTAGCAATACATCATAATGAAATTCGATACAACCTGAGTTTTCTATGTTATTTATAACATCCATCATGGACAAAATTTTACAGGCAACATTTCATATGCAGGGCCAATTCAATTGCCCCCAAATGAAACAGAATTCACAGGATAACAGATAATTCATCTTTGTGACTTTCACTGAATGCAGATATTACTTTTATTAGATTGTAATTGCAGAAGATTATCTTAGGGTACATCAATTTCAAGCTGCATTCACTAGACTGGCAGGAGAAATGTAATGTACTTGGCTAGGTAGTTCTGAGGGTTTGCAAAGAAAAACAGGGAGTCAAATAAACACAGAGTTCAGTAGATTGCAGACAAATATCCATTTGCCAGCTCGATTTAGCGAAATCTTCTAACAGCTGCACACTCCACACTTACCCCAAACACTGCAAGCGAATCCACTATGGCCTTAGACGGTTTCCCCTGAACTGCAGAATTGAAACAAACCAAACAATCAGGACCTGCGCTGAAGGGCAGGCAAATAATCCCCAGATTGCAATGGACCAAGCGGGGGGCACTCACAGAAGATGACCGGGAGGAGGACGAGGCAGACGAGGGACGCCATACTGACCAGCAGCGAGCACCCCATCGCGCTCAGCCACACGCCTGCTCGATCAAATCCCCAAATCATTCAATCGCCTCGGAGGAAATCACGCGCAGAAATCGCGCCTAAAACGCAAAAAACGAGTAGGATCGGAACAAAAAATGCCTAACCCATGGGCGATGTCTCCATGTCGCCGTGGCCGTGGTGATGGTGGTGGCCGTGGTCATGGTCGTGCTCGTCGTAACCGAAGGACTCGAGCTCGAGATCCGCCTCCTCCGCCATCTCCTCCGGGAGCAGCCGCTGGATCTCGCCGTGGCCGTGGCCGTGGTGATGATGGTGGTGCTCATGGTCCACGCCGCCGCCGCAGCTGTCGCCGTCGCCGTGGTGGTGGTATTCGTGCGGTTCGTCGTAGCCGCCATGGTCGTGGAAGGGGCAGGAGGACTCCGCCGAATGCCCTGCGGCGGGGGCGGCCAGGGCCGCGGCGGCCGCCAGGAGGAGCAGGGCGGCGGCGAGGCTTTGGCGGCGCATTAGGGCTCGCGCGTCGGCAGCCCGCGGGGATTTGGGGGGGGGGGTGGGTTCAGGAGGCGGAGGAGCGCTTGCAGACGCCCTCGATGGTGACGACGACGACGAGCACGAAGAAGAGCACGACTATGCCAATCACCACGCCGAACGTCACCACGTCCATGTCCAACCGATTTTATAATTACACCCCTCAATTAACTCGGGCGAAAAAATATGACAAAAAAAAAACACAAATCGAACCAGCTCGCTACGACATGAACGATGAGGCAGGTCTGTGAGCCTCGGATCGGGCACCAGGAGTGAGAATTCTGACTCGGCGGTGGGGGAATCGGAAGCTTCTCTGACCTCGTGCTCCCCGTACGCAGCAGCAGCGTACACTTTGTGTCGGTGGCAAGCAAGGTGTTCTCCAATTCCGATTCCGAGAGCACCGCGATGATCGGAGCGTCGAGGGGTTCCACAACACTACAACACTGGATAGGGGATCATCGGATGGAAAGACTGCAACAGGATGATGATAGGTTTGAGGGGAGCGCGATCAAGCCGGGTGTCACGGTGTGATTGTGAATTGTGATGCAGGCTGCGGTGGTTGCAGGTCGAGTGGTCGACGAGGGAAGGAGAGTGATAGAGCGTGCATCAGTCAGTCAGTGGAGCAACACCTTTTATCTCTCTTGTTCCTGAGCTTATCTTTCATAATTCTCCTTTTTAGCCCAATTCGTTTAGAGGAATCTGAGCAGGATGAATTTAGAGAAATTTATGGCCCCGTTCGTTGTCTGAACTTTGGCTGAAACTGGCTGAAAACACTGTTCCGGCTGAATTGTTGTGAGAGAAAAATACTGTTCCGGCTGAAAAAATAAGCCGAACAAGCCAAATTTAAGACAAGCGAACGGGGCTTATGAGAGAAAAACACGGTTCCGGATAAAAAAAGAAACGGATCAAGTCAGATTTAAGAGCACGTGAACAAAGCCTTTGCTATCTAGAGAAATGTTGGTGCCATCTTCTGTTCTCTTCTTCTCTTGTCGACCGTTCTTGATTGTTCATAGGCTCTCGGGTGTACCACCGGACACCGGCTCATCTAATAAAGGGTGTGTTTGATATATAGACATGTGTCGGTGTTTCGAATAAGCATTGGCTAGTAAATTTATAATTGATGTGCGTTAGACCCGGATAGTGTGCTAAAGGACACAAGATTTATACTGATTCGGACTGAATGTCCCTACGTCCAGTCTGTTGCTGCTCATGTTATTAGCACTAAAAAAAGGTTCGTAGTAGGGGTACAAACGGTCGAGAGAAGGACTGGTCCTAGGTCTCTGATGGAAGGGTCGAAAGGATGCCAAGAGCCTGGTGGCGGCTTGGCTGTGTGCGTGATGTGAGACTGAACTCTCTATGAGCTCGTCTATATGTGAGTTGTTCGTCCAAAAGTCCGTGTTGGGTTCCTCGCCTAGAGGCTGAAGGCGGCGCCTACAACTCTGTAGGGCGAAGAGCACGCGCCTGCAACACTATTCAGGCCCTGCCACGCCTGGAAGGGCCTAAGCGCCCGTCCCGTCATGCCCTGACGATACTTTCCTGCAGGGGCGCAGGACATGGTCTGCCGCGGTTGACACGAACGTCTTGTCTTACTCTGTGCCTATCATCATGAGGGAGCGGGGTGTGGTTGTCAGGTGAGGCGGAGCCAGCCTTTGGACATCGGGAGAGGCGAGGTCCGTCCTCGGACATCGGGTGAGGTGGAGCCTAGCTCTTATCCGTCGAGCAAGGCCGAGCCCAGCCGTCGGGGTCGGGCGAGGCGGAGTCTAGTTCTCAGCCTTCGGGCGAGGCGGAGTCTATCCCTCGGGGGTCGGGTGAGGCGGAGTCTATCCCTCGGCCCTCGGACGAGGCGAGCCGGCGGAGCTGGCCCACGGGCGTTGGGCGAGGCGGAACAAAACTCCTGTCGTTCGGGCAAGAAGCGGTGCAGTGCTGTTGTCCATTCGGGAGTTTTTAACGTTCGATGGTTATTAGTTCCATCTCCTTGGGTACCCTGGTATTAGGCTCCCGAAAGTAGCCCCCGAGCCCCCGGGTGATTCGGACAGAATCGCCCGGGGGGTGTTTTAATTTCGTCGGAGTTAATTCGCCAGAGGGTGCGCGCGAGCGCACTCGGTGGGTGTAGCCCCCGAGCCCCCGGGTGATTCGAGTAGAATCGCCCGGGGGGTGTTTCGATTATGTCGGAGTCAATCCGCCAGAGGGTGCGCGCGAGCGCACACGGTGGGTGTAGCCCCCGAGCCCCCGGGTGATTCGAGTAGAATCGCCCAGGGGGTAGTATCGGACCCTCCGTGGGTAAGACCGTGAGACTTGGTCTTTTATCAACTGGATATTTTTAAAGGAAATTGTGGTATCCCGTTCGTGGGGATTTCATTCAGGGCCGGCCTGGCTGGGGCTCGACCGCGGATCGAGGCCCTGGCCATGCCTGTGTCCTTGAGTCCTGGTCGTTTTGTGGGCCCATCCTTCGTTGGGACGGCCCTTGGGCTCCGGGATCCTAGGTGGGCCAGAGAGAAAAAGCTTTGTGGCCCGTATTCTCTTGGTGGGAAGAGAGTCCTGGTCCGCCTAGGGAAGGCGAACCGCTCGACATGACTTTCGCGGGAAGGGATAGGGATTGTGTGCGCGTGTCCCACGATGTGACGCAGCGGTGCGTCGTGGCGGGCTCAGAGATCGAGGTGGACCGTTGCCCTTCTCGCATCCGTCGCCCCTATAAAACCACGGGGTTTGCCCCTAGGGTTCCATACTTCGCCTCCTTGCCCTTGAATTCTCAGCCTCCGCCGCCAATCGCCTGAGCTTCTCACGCCCGTGCTGCTCCCGCCGTCAAACTCGTTGCTGCCTTCTTCCCCGTGCTGCTCCTGCCGTCGCAATGGACCCGGGGTACAAATCCAACATCTCCACTCGGCGCCTGGAGGGCCTCGTCCGCCGAGGCCTCCTTCGTCCGTTGACCGCCGCCGAGGAGTGGCGGCTGCTCGATGAAGAGGACGAGCCGCAGCCGCCTGAAGGGTACGTCGTGTCTTTCGCTCACTTCCACGAGCGGGGATTCGTCATGCCCGCCCATTAGTTTTTTCGGGGACTGCTGGACTACTATCAGGTGGAACTGCAGCACCTTACCCCCAACGGGATCCAGCACATTGCGCCGTTCGTCGCCCTGTGTGAGGGGTTCTTGGGGATTAGTCCCCACTTTGACCTGTGCGCGGTATCTCTTTACCGTCAATCTTGTGAAGAGGTGAGTCGGGCAGCAAGAGCTACACGCGCCGGTGGGGTGCGCCAGCATCCACCTCGGCAACAACCGGGCAGGGGCATACCCGCTAATGCATCTGTCCACCTCCAACAAGGGGTGGCATTCGCAATGGTTCTATGTCAAGAATGACGCCGCCGCCCCCTTGCCAGCTTTCACTGGGCGCTACATCTTGGAGGCCCCGAGGTCATGGGGGTGGGGCATCACGGGCAAGGAAAAGAAGCAACTCAACGGCCTTCTCGCCGCCCTCCGAACTCTAAAGCAGAGGGGCGTGAAGGGGTCGGGGATCATCGGCGCCTACCACGTGAGGAGGGTTACGCCGCTGATGGCGTGCGCGCTTCCCTTGTATCAGATGGTGCCCAAAACATCGTTTGAAGGGACGGTGCTTGTCGACAAGGTGCTCCCTTACTCCGAAATGGAGCAGCGCATCAAGGAGGCGATGGAGCCGACGAAGGACTCCGCTGGCGCCGTCCTTGACTTCGTGTATCCGGCGCCGGGGCATCCCCCAATGCGGCCAGAACCGGGGTTCGTTGACTTCATAAGTCTTCTTTCCCTTGCTCCTCTCTTCACTTGAGTTCCCGACCCCCTGATGCTAACCTCAGGGTAGCGGGACCACCGGGGATTGCTTTTCAAGGATAGCCCGGCTCCGCTGCCGAAGGACCCAACCGGGCGGCGGCGAACCGCTCCGTGGCCGGTTGGGACAAGAAGACGAGGAAGCTCGCGAAGAAAAAGGCGATACGGAAGCAGCAAGCTCGAGATCAAGGAGAGGAGACAGGCAGTGAAGACGATGATGATGACAACGAGTCTGATGAGGAAGCAGCCGGCGTGGATTGGGGTGACCTGGTGGACGAGGAGTCGTTGCCCATGCAGGGACCCTTCCCGTTCCACGTGGAGGGAAGCGAGTCTATGGGGACGGTGGAGCCGGGCCTGCCCCTGGGTCCAGTGGGAGCCGGTGGATCCGTCGTCACCGTTAGGGTGCCGGTGGAGGATTGGTGGATGGGAGGGGATGGATCTGAGGCCATCCCCAAGGTGCCAGTGGAGGGGGCGGCTCCAACGCCACGCCCCGTGAGCTAATGGAGGGGGGTGGCTCTGGCGCCGCGCCCCATGAGCCGACGGAGGGGAGCAGCTCTCGTGCCATGCCCCATGAGCCGATGGTGGGGAGCGGCCCTGTCGCCACACCCTCAGAGACAAGGGAGACGAGCCCCCCTACCTCGGAGTGGGGGGCAGGCTCGAAATGGACCCGCCCATACGAGTTGGACCAGGGGTCCGGGGGTTTGTCCCCGAAACGTACCCGCCGCCCGAAAGCATAAGAGTATGTCACCGGTTCCCCTCGTTTTTTCCTTTATTTTTCTATTCCGACCTTATGCATATTCTTACGACGGGGCCACCCCCTGGGGCTGGCGCCCAAGAAGAGCCTTGCCCTTCAGGCAGGACGGATGGTGCTGCCGACGTCGCCCCTATTTCGGGCAGGAGCGGCATTGACGTTGCGGCCTCGTTGGCTGGTCCAGCGGCGCCCACGGTGGCGCCCGTGCCCTCGATGGTTGCCGAGCAGGCGGCTACGACCGTGCCAAGCCAGGAGCAACCGGACGCAGCCGTGGTGGTGTCCGAGGGGGTGGAGCAATCCGTGCCCCTAGCGGCCCAAGTGATGGTGCCCGATGCGAGACGGGCGGAGTCAGATGTAGCCATGGTGGCGTTCGAGGGAGCAGCGCAATCCGTGCCATCGGAGGCCCAGACGGAGGTGGCTGCGACCGCGACAAGC